ATGCAGTTGGGGTAACGGAAAGGGCAGATTTTTTCGCAGAGTTTATATCGAACTCCGACTTAGCAGCATTTCGGCTTTTAGGACTAGAGGGTTGGTGATGTACCCATGACCCCCTATTTTTTTGATGGAAATGGGTCGTGGGGTTGATAAGGAACAACGTTTGTATGGGAAACTTTTTGATTAACCCACATTTTCATAATCTCACCGGTGCCTGTATATGTAAGGGGATGTGTGTCTTAGAATTTTTCAGGGGGGTGGTAATGTCAACATGACCCCCTTGTTGCCGACCTCTTTTATAGATTTAGTTTTTATGGTTTTTCGAAATGTTTTTAAAGTATTGACATTTTTATGATTTTTGCTTTCAAAATAGTTATTGTGTTTGCCTGTCATCTGACATAATATTATTCGGTTGCTTACTTTAAAATAGTGTAAATAAACCCATTGCGTTCAAATCCTGGCCTTCATATTCCATTCCACTAGCTCTCCGTTTCACCCCAATTTTTTGAATGGAAATGGGTAGTGTGGGTGATTAGGAACAAAGTTTGTATGAAACACTTTTTTGTTAACCCCCATCTTCATATCTTCATGATCCTGTATGGAAGGGTAATTTATTTATTTATTAGAAAATGACTTAAAAATTTTCAAAAGGAGGAGTGGTGATGTCCATTTCACCCAATTTTTTTGATGGAAACGGGTTATGGGGCGATATTGAACAACGTTAGTATGGGACTTTTTTTGGATAACCGAATTTGTCAACCCCGAAATACCGTGGTCTTGGTCTGCCCTACCCCTACAGTGTTTAGAGCCCGGAATGCACGTCCTTACATACAAAATGTTCAACAAGGTGCACAATACTCTTTTTTTTCAGAATGGAAAAAAACCTAACGTTGGTTTCAGAGTCTAACAAATATTTTTTTATGATGTTATTTATTTTTTAAGCATTTAACTGCTAGATGTTTAAATCTAAAGAAAAGTTTACTAGAAAAAAAAACCACGCGGACCAGGCAGCGGACGGGAAACGAAATATTTATTTCTTTGTGCAATTTGTAAATGCAAGGCCGGCCCATCAAAGAAATGTCAGCGCATCTGCGCTTTAGTTATACAATCAAATACAAAACTATTTAAAGAAACGATGCCCAACAATTGGGTAAACCATTTTATCGATAGTTATTTATTATTCTTTGGAGAGTAATAAAATTTTACGCTATTATTTGATTTATTTTCATTTTTTGTGTACACGCAGAAATGTAACAATACATTTTGAAGAGCTACCTACAATAATATTTTTTATCAATAAAATTAATTCTGTTTACTTGTGACAAATGTCAATGTCAACTATTAATAGAGTACAAGATACGGTTTGGCCATGCCTGTTGGCAGCACCTTCGTTGTGCAAGTTCCCTATATCTAAAAATTCTGAGATTTCCAGGACTTTCTTTTTCAAAGTGACTATCAAAGTAAGAGATGCGCTGTCAGATGGAAGGACCTCTGTGCTCTTCCTTGATTGGCCACCATGATACCACACCTATTAACAACCGGCATGACTTCATACTCCAATACCAAATGGATCCGTTTACGAATCAAAGTTGCAGTTTTCCACTTTCACAGCGCTACAAGCGCAGCACAGGCCAGAATATAATTTATTTAGATTTTTGCTTTGAATATATTGATTTATTGTTATTTTCTGTCTTATTAAAAAAAAGGAAAGGGAATTAAAAATTAAGCAATAATCCATTCACAGCAAATCATCACAAGGAAAAACCAAATATTTTTTAGATTTGTTACCATTTAGGTCTACTTGCCACAACATCAGCAATTTTTTAAAATCTCTCTATAAAAAAAATATATTTAGCCTATATAATAATGCCAAATGGACATACGTTTTGAAGTTTTTCTATGGATTACAGACTATTTTGACATTTCCTACGCTTTTTGTTTAATCGAAAGATAATTATCGATATCGATACAAAGACTTACATCTCTAGATTCCAATTTAACCACATTAGGTACGCAATGTATAAAGCGAAATTGCATTGAGGATTTTCACATTTAAAATTTTTATCTTGAATAACCGTACTAAGAAGAGCTATTAATTTTTCGGTGGTACTTGCTGTCTTACATTCTTTCGAGAACAGTCACTTTGATCTTACACTAAAAAACATGTTTTGTGCGTTATTTAGTTAGAAACAAAAATTGGAACTTTATTGAATATGTGAGGTAGGTATACACTTAAATATTTTGTTCGGACTCTTTTGCTATATTCGTTGCAATATCCTAATATTTGAAAAACAGCATTTCAATAATAACAACGACAATTAACCATTGTTCATCTTTGTGTGATGATAAAGAGAGAAAGAGAAGAGAGTAGGGAAGAAGGTGGCACTTTAGCACAGGGGCAGATTTGAACATGTTGATTTCTGAACGTAACTTTATGTTAATTTATGCCGTAACTACCTTTTAATATTGTTGTCACTGGCTGTGACAACTGTCAGTTAACAAAGCACGCGTTTCGTTTTCAAAAAGATTTATAACCAAAAAAAAATAAAAATAAATGTTGTAAGGGATTAATTAGTGTCTGTTATTTCACTCCTTTGTTAAATAATGCCATTTGGAGGAAGTATTTGGAGTCAATTTATTGTTGTAAGAGAAAATTATTGTGGTCGTGAATGACCCATGTTCTCCTCGGGGAATCACAAAGAACTGAACTATCGTTTGTAAATACTTAATGCCAGCTAGTTCATTCGCATGGGTATGAGAATTCAAGAAATCCATGGAGACCTTTTAATTGGGAAACTAATTCTAGAAAATCGATTGTGGATATGTAGCAATGTAGTTAGTGTACTATCGCGGAATTTTGCGCTCTGTCACTTGGCGAACAAAATGCTTTGAACGGTTTTCTACAGAGTAGTTTTTACTACGCCCCGCCTTCGCGTCGGACGTGCCAATCCGGGCCGCCGTATAAAAGTATGACAGAGAGCATTTCATTGTTTGAATAATGAATTGAATTGCATTTGTTTTAGTTGCAATTTGTCATCCGCATCGTGATCGCGACAGCGCTATACGAAAAAGTAAGACAGCGATAATTACATGTCTATGAATGAATTTTTACTACGCCTCTACCGCAAGCGATTATGGCATTATGGGTGACAGAGCGGGTCTTTCCGCGAGTGTACATACATACAATATGAACAATGTATAAACATTCTTTTAAAAGATAAAATCATAATAGGTTATTTAGAAAATAGTTGTTTTAGTATGTGCTGGCACTTTCTTTGGTGTAAGAATAAAATAAGACAACTTAACCTTTTCTGTAATTAATCAATCAATTTAATTGGATGCGTTGTTGTGTAGTAACAAAATAAATAGATAAATAGAAAAAAGGGTAAAGGAAAATTGAGAAGAACAGTATAGAATATATATATATATTTACAAGAACAAAGTATTTACAGAAAAGAATATAAAAAAAAGTGGTATGGTGTGGATGTATGAAGTGTGTGTAAAGTGTGAAATGTAGAGGGCGTGGGTCGTCGGCGATCTTCTAAGTGGCGGCTTGAGGGTCTGGAGAACGTGCTGCTGGAAGGCAGAAGTGCTCCTGTTCAGGCGTCTCTTGATACGCTTGAGGCGCTGCTGGTAGGTTGGCCAGCGAAGTTTTAAGACGAACGGCACTACTAGTGGAACGGCAGGCGCCGGTAGTAGGCGGGCCGAAGCAGCTGGAGGCTGGTCGAGGTAGCTGGAGTCCAGGCGGCAGTAGGGGTCCGTTGAAGAGGATGACCGTATAGTGTAGTATAGTCGAGTAGAGAGTACTTTAGAAAGCCAAAGAGTGCTGTATAGCTTTGAGGTCTTTGCTTGAGTCCCGGGGCAGTCGGCCCTTCAGTAATTTAGAGCTCGGTAGCGAGCTATCAAAAGTTACGTTGGCAATTTTTGCCGAAAAAATGAATGAAGGACCAGGATAACTCAGACTTTTAAAGGGCCCGGAACCATTCAAATTTAGACACGATTCGAATCGAACTGAAAAGAATCAAAGTAGGTGGTCTTTGGAGTTGAAAAAAAGGCCAAAGGCCATGGCAACGGAGAAAAACATTAAGGAGTCACAAGTGTCAGGAAAATAAATAAAGAAAATTAAAGGACTAATGAAGGATTAATGAAAAAGGAACTGAATTTTAATCATATAATAAATATACGAATCTAGAGAAATGCTGGTAAGTGTCTAGTACTCTGCAAAAGTGATTTTAGTAAGATCTCATCTTACTAAAATCACTTTTCCAGAGTGCTAGTTCTGAAACGTATTTACAAAACGATAAATAGTATGTGATTTTTTTGAAATTGTGTGTTTGCAGAAATAAATAATAAAAGATATTTACACACAAATATGATGGCGTACGATCAAATGTATGAAATGGAACCAATGATTGTCGAAAGGAAGGATCATCCCAAATTTAATTGAATTTCACGTTTTCATACGCACGCTAAGTGTCACGCTGATATTTATTCTTAAGAAAGCGCCAACTTAAAAATTTATTAAAGTCCCTTAATGACATCGTCGGCATCTGCATTAGTCTAAGCATAGACCAATAATGGTCCATGGTCTAACGTAAATAAGTTTCTTCAAATTACTAGTACGCTTTGGCAAAGATTTGGGGTTAATCGGACCTATGGGTTTTGATCGCTTAACCTTATCAACTGATTAATATGCCCCAGTCCCAACATCCTGCCTTATATCCAACGTCGGTAGAAGCCAAAATCTATTTTAATAACTATGTGCCCGCTTGCCGTTGGGAAATAAATGACTGTCTTGTGTATGCTGGAAACGTATATAAGATATTTGCGTTAAACTAAACTTTATTTTATGAAACACTATTATAACATTATGGGTTACTTACTAGATGCTAGATTTAAATAGAGACTCAAAAATATTAAATGCAAAATTATTATCAAATATGCACTTTTCTCATTTAGTAGTGGAACATATCATGTTACATGCTATCTAATAAAAATAAATCAATAAACTCTGTATTCACATAACTACACTAAGCGAACACTTTCTCGGTTTACATTTGTATGGAAATTTCAAAATCATGTTTTTTTTTGTCATAATTCAAGAACAAAGTGTAACGAATAATTAACAAGCCTTATTATCAGCACCATTACATTTTAATCTCAAGATAGTACAAAATAAGGAGATCGCTCAACATTGAAATCATAAAACAAATCACGAACTGACGAATAAGTCTCCAGCTGTTCTTGCGCCGGCTTTGAGACCCTCCCAAGTCTCAAAACATACTTGCTCGATGTACTTCGGGTCTAAATGGAAAGCTTCGAATCCCGAGCCAAGTCCAGGTAATTCATATGTATAGGTGAAAGGTATGCCTATCAAGTGTGCATAATCTTCAGCTGCTCCTGCCGCGGCATATCCTATAACATTAACGGAATTACCTACTAAGTATTCCCAGAAATGAGGCAGTGCTACTTTATCAATTGCTTCACCCATTTGAACTCCCACAAAATTAAGAAGTAACGCGTTGGGGGGTAGTGAACCGTCGTGTCCCCAAGGGTACAAGATCATGCTGCCGAAGCTATGCATTGTAATGTATAATGCTATCCTGCTTAAGTGTTCATTCATAATGTCTCTTACGACTCTGGTCTCAACCTCGGAGAAAGGCATTCTGCCAGCAAAATTGTCGGCGCAAGGATTACTGCTGGATCCAGAGGTACCCCAGAAGAAGTCGTAGTTTCTATTAACGTCGACACCTCTGCAAAATATGCTGGAGGTGCTGGAACGAGTCTTTCTCCAGAAACGCTCCTGAAATAAAAAAAAACATTAGACCTCAAAATTTACAATTTATTGGGTTTTCGTCATTAGTAAAACAATATAACATATATGTACAAAGCAATGAAACAAATATGTAGGGCTAAAGGCGCAATGTATCTTTATTTTTTGAAAGCTAACTAGGTCAGAGTTCCATAATCGAAAATGGTAGCATCTATAATAAATCCTTGATTTTTGGATTCCTTGGATATAAATTGTATGTACAGATAACCACACATCACGCTCCTATAAACTGACAAATTTCAATAAATTTTCAATCGCATATGTAAAAATATGAATCTCAAAATCATCAATCAGAAATCTGAGTCTTGGGTAATTTGACCTGTGGCTGCACCTAAATATGTATATATACTAATATATAACCTAAGTATGCACTTACGTTAGTGTGGGAGAACTCGTATCCATCAGGATTGACAATTGGCAATAGGATCCAATCAAATCTCTCAAGAAGATCAGGTTCTGTGACATTCTCGACTAGTTTATGGATGGCCCAAGCTACAGTAGGTGGCGAAATCCACTCACGAGCATGGGTACCGCCATCAATGAAGATGACTGGCTTTCTGCGGTCTTGGAAGTTGGTCGTAGATATTTTAACATATTTGATGGGACGACCCTCAAAGGAGTTTGCAGCATTGACAAGTGTAACTCTGTCGGGGAATCTCCTTGCAACATCTTCGAGATAATTATCAAACTGAAACATTTTGAATAGTATACTGAAAACAAATCTACAATGTCAATATCATTCCGAAATAACTGTTCCATATGATGTTATCATCAGCCTCTTTATATCTTTACTGCTGGGGCACAGGGGATTCTCTAGGGATGAAATACGGAAATTGGGCCATGCCCCACCACGCGGGCCCAGTGTGGATTGGTGGGTGCTAACGATTACTGATGCAGCTGGGACCAACGGCTTATTGCCCACGTGCACAACGCCTACGCGCCCACAACTAATGTAAAAGTTACTTAACTTCCACGCGCTTATCACCTGCGCCATCGAACTTCACTATGTATGATTTAATACCATCAAAGATGTTTTAAATTATTTACTGTAAAATGAAGTAACTTCAATAGAGTTAAATTTAATTCAATGACTAAAAAACGATTTGTCGCAAAAACCTAATTACCTATATTATCAAAATATTAAATTTTTATATTGTCCTTCATATATTTACAAATTATTATTATAGCAATTATAATTAACTTGTATACTTACAACTGCTAATCTCTGATAATTATTAAATGGGAATCCTCCAACATTGCGAGTTCTGAGTTCATTTGCTCTTTTTTCAATTTGTTCATCTTCTTGTCTGAGAGATCTGAAAAATATGATAACTTACTTAAAAACATAACTAAGCTTCTTAAAAAAAGTTTAAAGATAGTTCAAAAGTGGTAGTAGGTTTAAAACAAAATTCATATTATATAATATACCCAAATCATATGTTCTTTTTTAATGTGTTTTCTTCAGAAAAAAAATGTCCTTCACATTCTCCTGTTGCGGTCCTCCCAGGAGTTGAATCCTCGTTGTTGTCAATTGTCCTAGTTTCAACGAGAAGATTTTTCAACAAATTCGAGCGTCTTTGCCTATTCTACACTGAAGACTACATCATTAAGTGTATTTTATCTTTAAATGCCTTATTCCAAAACTTGGACTAAAGTTAGTTTTGGTTTAAACCTAATGCTGTCTTCTTTTTTTTTGTTTTGATTTAGAGGATTTTCGGAACAAATAGTCCATACCACCCCCATCGTAACCTGACCATACATTTTCTTAAAATTACTTAACTATTACATTTTTGCTACCATATTGCAAAGCACACCAGCCTCCTCCGATAGGGGGTTGGCTAGGATGCTCTGCAATATGCCAGTTTCAATCCTATTAATTTTAAGGATGGATAATGCATGTCTCCTTTCCGCTCCATTTTTGACGCATTCCATTAAAATGTGTAGACAATATTAGCAAACAAAGGTGACAGCATTATTTTTAGACTGGGTTTAACTATAGTCAACGCTTTGTAATACGGCAGAAAGGCTTTAAAGTAAACGATCGAGACGGCCGTCTTTGGGACAAGGCAGCTGCCGTCGACTGGTCAACGGCTGACGGCTAGGCAACGAAAGACGGCTGCCGTAAAAAGGTGGCGACCGACGGCTGCAGTTGCCGCTACCGTTAGCTGCAAGCCACTCGTGTAATGAACACAGTGAGTTATATTGGAAGTACCCTAAGCACGAACCAATATCGAATTCAAATAGTTGAATTCGATCTCGATACGCGGGAATGCTGAGAAGTTTTCTATGAAAGATATTTAATTCTCGTTACGTCCGTTGTGGCACTGTTCAAATTTCCATACAAAAGTTCTTGATTTTGGTTCGTGCTAAGGGTACTGAGCTTTACTATAGGGCGATACGCAATATGCAAGCTACATGCGACTTTTTAAATATGCTTAGTACTTAAAAAAGCTTTGATTCATAACCACGGAGGTACGGGTCATAGCAATACCTATATGTGACGATGTGTGAGTTTGAATAAATAAAGATCTGTAATCTATTGAAGCTACTCAACAAAAAGAAACAGAAATATACCACAGAAATCACCAATGGGTATTTAGATATTGTCTATATGTTACATTTTTAGCGTTTATATCGTATACTTACTTGACTATATCTTCAACGTGTACTTTGGTTGAGATTCCTTTTTCTTTAATCTTTCTAGTGAATTCTTCTTGGTAGTGAGGCTTCACGAGAACCACAGTTTCTCTATTTACAGAGGCACGACCGAGGAAATCTACATCTAGTTCATACTGCAGAGACATGAGATACTTTAGTTGTTCCTGCGTGTGTGGTTGGACATAATATGATTTCCATCTGCAGACAAAAATAACGTATGTTTTTATTAATTTATTCTCTTTGCCACTCTCAAACGAATACATAGGTAGAAAAAATGGTGCGGTTCCATAAAATCCTGATGCTAGTGATTTTTTTAAATTAATTGAAAAAAAGCCTTTTTCAGCTGGGAATGGAAATCCGGGCCGCCCGTGTAGCAGGATCTCATCAACAAACATCATTATCTTCCACCACTGAATCACCGATAAACTGTAATGCGCATGATCAAAGATGAACGAATAAAGTGTGGTGATTAAATAAAAGTTTCACTTTTAAATTTGATATACAGGTTGGTCCAACTAGTGACGTCAACAATTTTTTTTTAGATTCCTAGCACCTGGGGGTATCCGAAAATACCCCATGTATGTTTCGCGATTTTTCTTAGTTTTCGAGTTATAATTTTTTTTATGCATTTTTAATGATTTGTACCAGCGAGGTTTCAAAATTTCTTATCTTTTTTCGTTGTAACTATTTTGCAGTTTTTTTTTGTGACACATTTGTCTTGAATGTTGTTTTAATAAAAAAATAACTCAACTTCCTGCAATTACTTAAAGTTAAGTACTCAAAAAAGGCTTGAAAGTTGGATCTTTAGTTTTTAGTAGGATTTACTCAAACATTCAACTTTAATTTAGAAGTACAAAAATGAGTTTCCATAGGTTCTCGCTAATATTAAAAACCCTGTATAGATTATGTTTTAAATATCGTTATTGCTTAAATTAAAAATATTGCTTTAATGTTATATAATAATAAATTACTGTTCCTAATTTTATTTTAGTAAACACTATGATCATGAGATATTTGACGACACAAATTAATTAATGTCACCTGTTGTGTTTACGTAATTACATACTTATAATCTTTAATTACATTTAGACGTCATGATTAAAAAGACAAGAAATTAGATAAGGAGTTACACAGATGATTAGACAACAAAAGGACATGCAATTTTTAAAATAATATTAGAAACCTAGAATAAAGAACATATTAGAAATTTAGAAATAGTATTTTGTGGGAAGTTATATCTCTAATATTTTTTATGCTAACATGTTATAGTAAGTGCTAAAGCTTACTTTGTTACAGATGAAATTTCAATATAGTTGTTACAAATTGAAATATTTCTTTAAATGCTTTGACTTCAGATTTATTATTTATTGATACAATTGTTTTTCGTTAAAGTATGAATTGTAACGATCATGCAAATATTATTTTCCAATATAAGATTGAGGTTCAGGCCTATCATTATCTCTGGAAAGACATTAAATTATTATGTTAAGTTGCTCAATTTTATGGGGATTGCTAGTATGTATTGTTTCCTGCGAGTCCCCGATATTTCGGCACTGTTGCACTTGATGACACGGGGCGAGTTTACGAGCTGCTAGTGAACTCGCTGGTTTGTAGCTTGTGAATTCACCTCCTGTCATCGAGGCTTAACTGACTTGCAGTAATGCTGAAATGTCGGGGACTAAAAAACAACTAGGTAGGTACATGGTAGCAATCCTGCTATTTACTACACATATTATTTTAGTGATCACAAAAATCAAAACCAATCTATTCTTTAAGTTTTTTGAAACTTATACTACTACTAGTCACAACACCCTAATATATTAGTGAGCTTAATGCATCACCGTGAATACTATTAGACCCACCTGCACCAAAGTTCTTAAAACAAATTTAATTCATTCTCTTTCTGACTTTAGATTATTAACAAAGATGGAACCAAGTCCTAACCAAGATTAAGCCTTAATTTGAATTAAGAACATTGGTGCAAGTGGCCCTTAATAATATGTAAACACACATATAATAATTAAATCACAAACCCAGCATAATGCTCGTGCTTCGCGTAAACGACACTGCACAATAGCAAAAGAACCAAACTCTTCATTTTGGATATTCACTGATAAATGATAACATTCCGTCAACACCTCTCTTTTATATCCATTTTTTTCACCAAATACTTATATTATCAAACACAAGACAGATAAGACTTGCTGGATATGAAAAATCCAGATAGAGTTCAACTTTATATGTGGTTACATCTTTAGTTTTATATTTCCGAAATCTAAGATGACCTAACTGAGAATAATGTTAGTCAAATTTATTGAAATCTAATTTTTGGTTATTATTAGGTACCAATTTTATTGAGCGCATAAAAATCGGAGGATTTGTAGATCACTATATTTTGGTTTCTGAATGTATTTTGCTGAATGACCTGGCTGACTCTTCTATACGCATCGGCCTACGGATGAACTTGGATAAAACCAAGGTCATGTTCAATGAACATGTTCTACCGGAACCGATTGCAATACACGGTGCCGTTCTCGAAGTTGTTCAAAAATATGTATACCTCGGGCAGACATTGCAGTTAGGTAGAAACAACTTTGAGGACGAGGTGAATAGAAGAGTTCAGCTAGGTTGGGCAGCGTTTGGGAAGATACGTCAAGTTCTGACATCGTCGATTCCACAGTGCCTAAAGACGAAAGTCTTCAATCAGTGCGTCCTACCTGTGATGACATACGGAGCCGAGACGTGGACACTGACGGTACGGCTGGTCCATAGGTTCGAAGTCGCTAAGCGCGCTATGGAAAGGGCTAAGCTCGGCGTTTCTCATCAGCATGAGCAAGCATCAGAAATGAGGTAATCCAACAGAGAACCAGATTTATCGACATAGCTCACCGAATTAGCAAGTTGAAGTGGCAGTGGGCTGGCCATATTTGCCGAAGAACCGATAACCGTTGGGGTAGACGAGTTCTGGAGTGGAAACCGCGTCTAGGCAAACGTAGTGTAGGACGTCCTCAGGCACGATGGAGTGACGATTTGCGCAAGGTGGCTGGCAGGGGCTGGATGCGAGTAGCCCAAGATCGATCTGAGTGGCGTGCATTTGGAGAGGCCTATGTCCAGCAGTGGACTAAGGTAGGCTGTTGATGATGATGATGATGATATTTTGGTTTCTAATTATAATACAGTTTTTTTCGTAATACGTCTAATTGGTGCTACTTTTAGTTGTATCAGCATGTGTATTGTGAATTAAACTGTTTTACGATCAGTTAGTTGGACGGCAGAGAAGCTGTCCTTTACTCCAACCCAGCACGTGCCCGGATTCCATTAAAGGTTTTTATTTGTGACATGAGTCGAAATTATTTGTCCAAATTCATGATTGTTTATATCTAGGGGAAAACGTGCCCAGATGGGAGAATTGAATCATTTATCAAAATCGCATTGAAATTTAGCGCAAACAAACATTTCGTACATATTGGTCACATTTGAGACGCCAATCACAACAACACAGTCTGGTATCGTCTCGTAATCAATGAAGGAATTGACGTGTATTTTTTTTGTTTCATCTCAGGCGGCTCAGCTACAGCCGGCTGCAGGATTATATCAGGCTCTTACTGACTAAAAAACACCCGTTAATCATGCTTACGACCAGAAGGGCCTTAGAAGGTTCATCTGAAGCGATCATCGCGTTGGGGGGATGATCACTTCAGATGAAGCTTGTAAGGCCCTTCTGGCCATAAGCTTTTTATTTGCGCTCTTTAATACAATTTTGAAAGATGTTTCAATTCTCCCAGGGCAAGTTTCCCGGCGGATATATGTCTCTTCTGCGTCCTTTTCATACAAACGTATAGAAGCGTCGCGTTGCAATACATATAGAAAACGCAGGGCGCGAACGTGACGCTTCTTTTGTTTCTTACATTTTGTATGAGGAGTGGAGCTCGATGGCCCAAGTGGTTAGCCCGTTCGGCTGCGGTCGTTGAAGTTAAGCAACTTTCTCAGTGGTCGGTCATTGGATGGGTGACTAAAAATTTACTATCTCGAGCTCCTCCGTGCTTCGGAAGGCACGTTAAGCCGTTGGTCCCGGCTGCATCTGCAGTCGTTAGCACCCACCAATCCGCACTGAGCCCGCGTGGTGGGTCATGGCCCTATCTCCCTATTCCATCCATAGGGAAGGCCTGTGCCCCAGCAGTGGGGACATTAATAGGCTGATGATGATGATGATGATGATGATTTTGTATGAAACTGTAAAAAACAAAAGAAGTCCAGGCCCCTTCTGCGTCTTACGTATTTTCTGTGTGGCCCACGCCTAAGATTTCCCGTCACAACCGTAAACCGTTGCTTCGTAGCGTATTTTTACTTATAATTATGTTTATTTTTAACTTCTTTCAACTGAGTGTTCAACTCCATTATCGGTTGCTTTTGTTATTTTTTATTCTAAGTGGTTGTGTTATAATAAAATGGTTTTTTATTATTACTTAAAAAAAGTTTTATGTTTCCAACACATAGCCTGGTAACGTAATGGGAGAACTTGATTCTGTTATTAATTATTATGCCCCGAAACGATGGTTTAAAAGCTATTTAATTAAACAGTTACCTTCCAGAAATACGCTGCCAAATTTACTCTCATTAAGTTATAGGGGCATTCGGTTTCATGGTTAAATCAAACTCAAGAAGGCCCAAGGTAACAACTTTATTTAGAACAAGTGGCCTGTCATCGCTTCGCTTTGGTGTAGACTATGTAGGCTACAGTTTTAGTTCTCAGGTTTGTATTATATGTGTATATATTATATAAAACTACATTGAAAAATTATCTAACTGACCAAAAATTTACTATCTCGAGCTCCTTCGGGCTGTGGAAGGCACGTTAAGCCGTTGGTCCTGACTTCATCTGCAGTCATTAGCACCCACCAATCCTGAGCACTGGGTCCGCATGGTGGGTCATGGCCCAGTCTCCTTTTTCCATCCATAGGAAAGGCCTGTGCCCCAGCTAAAGCAGTGGGGACATTAATAGGCTGATGATGATAAGCTACAATTAATAATCCAGCTCCTGCGTTTAATTGTTTATCTACAAATTCCTACTGATTGAAACCATCCAAATCGTAATTTAATTTACCATTCACTGATTGATTAGATAAGACAAATCGGTCAAGTGGGAGTTCAACGCGTGTGAAAAGGGTTCTGTTCGCACTATAAAACTTCTCATAGGTTTTTCTGTGATATACAAGCTAAGAGCTGAATTCCATTTTAATTCAAAAACTTATACCATACGTATATACGTCTAACTGATGCAGTTAAGTTACAATTTTACATTTATAATAACTATTTTTTCATGTTAATATGCAATAGCAACGCTGGTACAAACTAGGCCATATTATTCGTACCTGTGTATCAATTCTTATCCAAATGTATCACTTCGTATTCAAGTGTATACCTATCATTGCTTGCAAATCACTTTTTGAATTATACCATTCCCATGTTCCATACCATTCAATAGTTATCATGAGTGTACTAATCATCATCAATCATCAACAGCCTGTCCTAGTCCACTGATGGACATAGGCCTCTCCAATTTCACGCCACTCAGATCGATCTTGGGCTACTCGCATCCAGCTCCAGCCACCTTGCGCAAATCGTCACTCCATCGTGCCTGAAGACGGTACGGCTGGTCCACAAGTTCAAAGTCGCTCAGCGCGCTATGGAAAGGGCTATGCTCTCTGAAGTTTCTCTGAAGGATCGCATCAGAAATGAGGTAATCCGACAGAGAACCAGAGTCATCGACATAGCCCACCGGATTAGCAAGTTGAAGTGGCAGTGGGCTGGCCATATTTTCCGAAGAACCGATAACCGTTGGGGTAAACGAGTTCTGGAGTGGAGACCGCGTCTAGGCAAACGTAGTGTATACACTACTAATAATGTGTGATAAATGTGATGGAAATGTACAAAAGACTGCGACACTAGTGGCACTAACATTTTGTACAATTTTCCATTCTGTACAGCGGGTGCTAAACTACGCAATAAAATTTTCACTGTTCACCTATTTTTATCTGCATTTCATCATTTCAGCAATAAAATAATTTAAGTAGGAAAATAATTGAATTGAGTTCTGTACTAGTTTCTTATGGCAATATAGAGAAACTAGCTGACCCAGCGAACTTCGTACCGCCACAAAAAATAGGGGTGGTGGTAGAAGGGCGAAAATTTAGGGGAGTATGTATTTTTGTATGATGTATCATAAAAGGAGGAGCTCGATGGTGCAGGTGGTTAGCACGTTCGGCTGCGATCGTTGAAGTTAAGCAACTTTCGCTGTGGTCGGTCATTGGATGGGTGATCAAAATTCTTTTATCTCGAGTTCCTCCGTGCTTCGGAAGGCACGTTAAGCCGTTGGTCCCGGCTGCATCTTCAGCCGTTAGCACCCACCAATCCGCACTGGGCCCGCGTGGTGGGTCATGGCCTAATCTCCTTATTCCATCCATAGGGAAGGCCTGTGCCCCAGCAGTGGGGACATTAATAGGCTGATGATGATGATGATGTATCATAAAAAAAAATCTAAAATTAAAAAAAATATATTTAAGGTTGGATTACCCTTAACATTTAGGGGGATGAAAAATAGATGTTGTCTGATTCTCAGACCTACCCAATATGCACACAAAATTTCATGAGAATCGGGAAAGCCGTTTCAGAGGAGTTTAACCACAAACACCGCGACACGAGAATTTTATATATTAGATGTCAGTCTCATATTTGAAAATACTAATATTATCCTAATACTTCTTAGGATTCCGAAGTGTACAAGGAACCCTGTTAGTTCCTTGTTGACTTAGGAATAGTTTGGCTGTGTCGTTGTGATTTTTATATTTTTATTTTAAACATTTAACTGCTATAATATGTATGAAACTAAAGAATTTTTTACTAAAACAAATCCACTCGGCCCAGATTTCAGACGGTATCTATCCGGGCGGAATAGCCGAAGATGCAGGTTCGTATCCCGCCTGAAAGCTGGACCGAGACGAATTTCTTCTAGTAAAATTTGCTTTAGATTTAAATAGTACTAGATAACTAATTTGGAATGGAAATACATTACACATATTATTATTATGATACATAAGTCAAAACGACAAAC